CATTACTTTCGCTCGTGTATTAAGAATAATAAGATACAATAAAGATTGCTGTGTGTCAAATAACGAGATACTAGTATTGCTAATATACATCCTTCTGCTATCCTGACTCGAATTATATCAAGAAATACAAACAAATTATGATGTAACAATTTATAAGATATGAATCCGGCAATGATTGTGTGTCATTTTGTGTATTTGATTCTTGCAATTGCTCTTTTCACGTGCATTTTTGAAATCTTTTCGATTGCAGAACTTGTTACAATACGCGTTGCATATAATGCAAAATTGTCATAACTTGATATGTCTGTACATGAAGCCGTCAATTGTGTTTTTTATGTTTGAACTAAAACATTGCGTGGAGCACGTATACTTTGAACTTTGTCAATATGTAAACAGTATGAGTGAAGAAATTAAATAATTTTTTACGCCAAAACTTGTATTATCAGTAAATTCAGTGTAAGTACTTTTCACAAAATTTATGATGAAGCTTCTATTATAGAATGTGAATAGTTTGCGCTTTAAATAATGAAAACCAATAACTGGTGAGTGAACATTATTTTTCAAGGGGACATGTATGAACACATAATTATAAAATCACATATTATACTATTAATACTATTATAGTTCTAGCCATGACTGCGTTTCAAGATTGGAGAGGATACTTTATTGCACATTGTATAGAATTATCTAGTGTACTTGTATAAATTTGAAATATATTCATAATGATATATTTAGATAATAAGATCAACTTTGGTTGATTATAGGATTTCATTTACCTAATTGATGGAATTTAAATTTATTTTTCTAATTATAAAAAATTTTTTATACGGTTTATAGCATATACATTTGCATATTTGTATTACCCTTATAAAAATTTTTCACCGTTTTTAGACCTCATTTGGACCGTTTTTAGCCCGTTTTTATTCCGTTCTTGCTCGTTTCTTGCACTCGCAAGCACTCACAGTGTATCATGAAGGAACGATAGTGAGTATACACGAGTACGCAATGAGTATTTTTGTACTTGTATAAATTTGAATTATATTCATACTGAAATATTTAGATGATAAGATCAACTTTGGTTGATTATAGGATTTCATTTAAATAATTAATGTAATTTAAGTTTATTTTTCTAATTATAAAAAATTTTTTGTACGGTTTATTGCATATACATATGCATACTTATATTATTTCTTGGCAAAGTTTATTTATAAGCATGTCAAATCAGGAACAAAAATCTTCTTTAAATAAAATTAATGTTTCCTGTAATTAAGGTAATTAATTTTATAAGAAACATGTAAAACAATAAATAAAAGGAATAAAAAAGAGACTAAATTGATAATGTATAATTGTATATGTAAAATATATTTAGAAATATAGCTCATGTCACGAATTTACCGTTGTGTTAGTAGAAAGTTTATGATTGATCACAATAATGAGACGGAACCATATTACAACAATTTAATTATACCTATTGTAACAATAAATGATTGACGTTATTAAGAAATAATTTGATATTGTTGCAGTAAACATAGACCATGCAAATGTTCAAAGAAATAAAGTATTTATTTTTATCTAAGGAATCAATTGACCAACAATGTTGGTCTTTTATATCTTTAAAAAGATATATAACATTTTTAACTTTAAAGATATACGAGTAATGAATTCTTTGCCATTATGATAATTTAGATACCGGTAATGTTTGAAAACATATTATTCGTTATAACATCACTCTGAAGAACTAACATATATTTATAAAGATACGTAAATTTCACATTGAATACACTGCCTAAACACATTCTTGAAATGAGAATGGGAACTGACAGACTTTATTATCGCTGATGCTGATCCCTTAGATATAAAAAAGATTCGATATCGTCAAAGTGCATTCTTGTATATATGTCATTGCATAGTTTAATGTAGGCTTGATAGCAACTACTGAAAATTGACTTGCATATTTGTAAAGATAAATAAAATTTCACCGTCCGTTGAATACACCATCCGAAAGAAAAAATAAATGAATAAGAAAATGAAAGAATAAAAATAAATGATATTTGAAAATAATGAAATAGAAAACGCATGAACGAAAAAGAGCTCTAATACATCAACCGCTTAGCGAATAGTTATTGCCTCAGTCATCGCAACAAAAAACGTTTGTGAGGATATTATACTTTAAACGTTAAACAAGAATTACGTACGTTTGCGTTATTCTGTGTGAAATGGGTAAGCAATATTGCTCATCGATAATGCATTTGAGTCGCAGTATAAAGAACTTGATTTCGAAACACGCTTACTCGCAGTAATACATGGTGTACCAAGCATAAAACGTAGCAGATATATAAACATATCAATGTGTATGTTTCGAAGTTTGATGATTACGTAAATTTAAATCTTCCTACATGTCTTTGTACGATTCATGATGTTACTGATGGAACATACTGCGAAGCTTATCCACACATAGACGTTGTGGAACAAATATTACTTCGATGTCATAAAATGTAATTACGATAATTACATTAAAGTAAAATCGCACACACATAGAGGCGAAATTGAAATAATTCATGATGCAAAAATAATAATTTTCAATAACTTGGATATGTTGCTGGAAAATGTGAATTTTTGAACACTAATTAGAGAGACTTATGGCGATTACTGATTCAGTTGGCTCACTGCATACGCTGAGGATTCAGTGGAATGCGAAGCTTCTGAAAATTTGTGATGGTGATCATTATTTGAAAAAATATTTTAAAAAAGAGACTTATGATACATAAGTCTTATTACATCAGTCGCTTTGTTGACCGCTCCTACTACACAGAGCAGATTGTTTCTAGTTGTTTTAGAGTATACTACCCTTGAAACGTCTCATGCTATGAACTAGTACGTTCCAATTCAACAGGATGAGGCGTGCGAGGGAGTAACAGTAAGTTTATTCAATTTTTATAAAATTTTGCTTATACATTTTATACGTTATGTATTTTTCTAAGGTCTATTTATTATACATGAGTAGGGTATATAGGCCAGTTCTGACTCAGCGATAATGAGGAGGAGTTGAGGGGCAGGAGGCATCCTCGGCGCGGGACGGTCCTTTGGCAGGGGAGGGGGTAACTTCACAGGGGGGGGTTGACGTCATGGAGGGGGTAAGAAGCGTATGACGTTACATGGGGTGACGTCACAGGGGTAGGGGGCCGACGTCACGGAAGGGTGGGAGGGTTATGATGTCACAGGGGTGTCGGGAGGACGTCACTTGGCGAGGGGAAGGCGTTATAGGGGGTTGGAATGACGTCACGGGGTGAAGGGGGCTGACGTCACGGAGGGGGAGGGGTATAACATCACAGAGTGGCGAAGTTAAATCGCTAAGGGGCTGATGTCACGGAGGGAGGGGTAGGAGATGACGTCACAGGGGCGA